CCTCCGGCTGTCGGTGCCCGGCGGTGTCCCAGGACAGGGGAGGGGGGCTCCGCTCCTTGCTGAAGGCCGTGGGGGCTGGCATCTGGGCAGGCTCCCGTGCCCGCGGGTGAGTGACTGCTTCAGCAAGGGGGGGGTCTGCAGCCTCGTTCCTGTGGGTGGTTGGGAGGGGGGGGCCCGCCCACCGAGGCAGGCGCTGAGGGGAAAATTCAGCGCGGCTGAACGTCGCCGCGAGCAAAAGGCCACGCGTAGTCCTTCTCGTGGTCGTACTTCGCCCAGTTCGGACGTAGCGAAAGCAGAGACAAAAAGAATTGAAATAATGCGACGGAATACTTAATATTTTCGAAGCGCTTCGTGGTACAGAGCTCTAGACCTTTGCCTCCCGGTGAGATGCGTGTTCAGCCAGATGGCCTCCTCCTCGCAGATCCTGGTGGATGCGTGTAGCCAGCCAAATCCCAGGAGAATTTATCCTGTGAATCACTGGGCGAAGGCAGAGGGAATTCCCCTGGGGAGGGGCAGGCTTTGCCCCTGCGGGGTGAAGAGCTTTGCACTGCAAACCCTGCCGTGGCTGCTGCTGCAGACATGAGGCGTCGGCATGGACGGTTCAGGGAAGCGCCGTGGCCCCCACGCGAGAAGATGTGGAGCCATGTGCCTGCCTTCTTGTGCGACATTGATTTCAGCATGGCTTTGAGGTGCTTCCCTGTATTCAGTCCTCTGGATTAAGTGCTCTTCTGTATCAAAACCCATTGTGTTAGTGTTGGGAAGATCAGTCCTTAGTTAATGTAATTGTCATTATGTTGAAACATTTTACAGGTTTTCTTGAGAAAGGAAAAATATTCTGGTAGTTTCTGGGGCTGGTTACATATGTGAATGTGAGATTTTTCAAGCTATGGAGGGCTCTGTCATAATCCAGTAGGAATGTCTGTAGGAAAGTAAATTGCTGTTAAAGCAGGCATCTATTCAGAGAAACGACTGCAGAAATGGCATTGTGGGGTCCATGTTTATGGTTTCTCAGCAACGCTGGTTGACGTCTCCTCGGCTACAAAATTAAAGGACCTTTTTTTTTTCTGACTTGCCAGCTCTACAAGCTTATCTGGGGCTCCCCGCCACGCCAGGCTCCATCAGGCTCATGCATCACCAGGACTCAAGAATCAGTGCGCGGGATTTAGTTAATAGCTAATAGTTGATGCATGAGACAGAAACGGGTCCGTGGCCTGAGCTTTGTTCACTCTGTGGGGCAGTGTAAGGTATTCAATACTTATTTTGAATGTTGAAGTGTGCAGGTCTAGCCCCATGGCCAGATCTTTTGATTAGGTACCGTTTCTACACGTAATCACATTGCAGGGCATGGCCGGTAGTTACATATGCACCCAAGGTTTCCTCTGATTGCACTGGGAGTTTTGGGCGTGCAAAGAATGTGGGAATGGAACCTACATGATTTATTGGCAGATAATTTACACAGGCTACTTCTTGGCCGTGTTACGTGCATTTCCTTTCTGCAGAGTTTGTCTTGAAGTAGTTTAAGCACCATCAGATTTATCTGCTGGAGCTTTTGAGTGCAGTTTTGGGAGAGAATGGCATCAACGTAACTTTAAAAAAAGAACGTATATCGAGATTATTTTTGTGCGTGGTTATCCCTAGGGCTTTAAATGGCTATAAAGTAAGGACTATAGCCATTTAGAAGAAGTTACTAGGAAAGGACCACAGTGACCTTGGCAATATCTAACTGCAGGCTAAACTTTCTGGGTGGGCATTCGGCACTGGATACAAAAAAAAGTAAAATCTTGGCAGGAGCTGCCAGGTCTCATTATTTTCAGTAGAGCTTGACATTTCCAGTGTTTAAAAAAAAATTTAAAAAAAGAATAAAGCCGACAACTTCAAAGGGGTTGGGGCATACAGAAAAAACGATGGAGCAAAACCAATTTAGCAATGATAGAATTAGAGAAATACGTGAAGCAGGTTTTTTTTTTCAGGCTTGCTTATGGCCTTTCTTCTCCCTTCCTCGTCTCCCCCTGCAGGAATGGGAGCTGGTGGTGCTGGGGAAGTTGAAGTGGAACCTCGCAGCCGTCACCCCACATGATTTCATTGAACACATCCTAAGGAAGCTGCCTCTACCTAAAGACAAGTTGCTTTTGATCCGGAAGCATGCACAAACGTTCATTGCCCTTTGTGCCACAGGTAGGCCAAGGTGCTCCGCATGTGTCTGCCACTTGCCCTGTGGTTGAAAGGGCAGATGATTAACTGGTGGTATAAAGGCGTTTTTATCCCCTCTGTTGTTATGTGGTGCGGGAAGAATGGCTCAAGCTAGTACGACTGTTTGCAAAGGGCATCGTGAATCAGGCCCTGAAACGGCATATAAACAGAATTCTTGCAGTTGGGAGGAGTAGTGCAGTTGCAGTCCTACATTTACTAACGCGTGTCGTGCTTTTTCAGTGAAGTCAGTAAGACTGGATTAGACCATACGATTTTCTACTTTGCCCAGTTACTAGTTTTTTTAAAGGGCCACAGATCATTTGTAAGGACAGATATGGGACAGCCAAAATACTAGAAGCTGTTATGGCACATTAGACCAAAATGCATTGGGCTAATGCATTAACTTAATGTGTTTGTAAATTTTTCATTAACTGGATGCTGTCCAGATAAAAGGTAAAAAATTGTATTTTAACATGTATGTGATGCTACCACATTACTGAAGCATAGCGAATGACAATTTTAAAAGTAAATATTTTTTTAAAAAAACATTTGAATGATTTCTCTAACTTTACTCCAAGAAAGCACTGAAACTAGACTGTTTCGTAGGGAACCATTACGCTCCCCTTTTGTTGTAGGCTTGGCTGACTACAGTATCTGAAGATTTAGATGAGAATAATTGCTTCTGTGGAAGAGGGGGTTTTAATTTATACCTGTCTGTAAAACACTGGGTTTTGCTTGTTTTTTTTTTTGTTTTGTTTTTTTTTTCCCCCCCCAGTGACTTTTAGAAAATAAGCGTACTCTAATTTTCAGCCAAAGGATTAACAGTTAGAGCACTTAATAGAAGCTAGAGCTGGAACAGATAAACAGCATGCAGTGTTTTCTAGGGTATTAGTAGTATATGTAGTATAAGTAGTATATGGCTTGATGTTTGAATTCACTACAGTTTGACATACCTAGTTCTTCGTGATAGGAACTGTTCTGCCTGGATGTTTGCAGAGGGGAAAAGAGGACGGGGTGCAGCTTTTGTGTATGGATGTCTACCGTGATGCCTCCTTCTTGATACTTGAGATGTAGTGACTGCTTTTACAATGTAGGCTAGTTTTTGCTGCCTCAGTCAATCTGTTTTAGAGAATCTTGTATGGGCTGTGTTGGGGTAGTTGGTTTTTTGTTTACCAAGATGCTCAAGCTTTCCTTTCTTTTCCCACTGCTGCACAATCGTTTTCAGACAAAACAGGAGTTAATAGAAATGTTTTTCAAAGTCTGCAGGATCACTGTTGGTAATCCATTTCTGGACTAATTAGCTTTTTAGTTCAGGATTAATCTGTTACATCAGTTTTGCCTTCTTTCTTTGCCTTCTACCCTTACCCAGGATTTGTTCACACTACCCTTTTCTTGTGAGAAAGGTGGTCTTTTCTCATGGACATTTCTCTGGATCCTCACAACACTATCAGCCGTCAACCTCCAACATACCTGCGTGTTGTCTTCCAAATCAGACCAAAATTCCCTCTCTTTTGTTGCTTTCACCTCCTACAACAGTGTTTTGGTTTGTTTGGTTTTATCCAAGAGGACATTTTCTTGAGTGACATAGATTTAACTATGATCTAACTTTTCAAATTCTGGTCTGTAATCATCTACCCTTGCAGTTTTCCATATAGCCGTGTGGATAGATGTGAAAAGACAAAACTGACTGCCTACAGAGCTTACCGAACGACAGGGCACTATGGTGCTGGCTGTAGATTTTCTTTCCCTCTTATCGCGTTTTCTATAAACAACTGTGTTGGCATTTAGTTTTGAGGAGCACTCACAACCCCTTCCAGTTTCGAAAGCAGAGATCGTACCCAAGCCCTCATTCCCAGTTTTCTACCTCATTCCCAGTTTACTAGCTAGCTGCTACCCTCATTTGCATTATAGAAATGTCATGTTATTACTGCTGTATTTCCCTTTCACTGCCACTGTTTTTGGAGTTGTTCTTACACTCCTTGGTGAAGAAAAGCCCATTCTCATCAGACTTCCTTCCACATCCAGTTGTCATTTCCTTTTCTTGTCCTGTTTGTTTCAGAGCTCTCATCGGACGCTGTGTTTCTTCTTTCCCTTTCTCCCTCAAAGCTTCTGCTCTTTGCCAGCTTGGGTTAAGCCTGGTGTTTCATTTCCCCAGTAGCCTTCTTTCAATGAGATGACCTCCTTTGGCATGTGGCTGCCGATTCTCTTGCTCCCTCCATGTGTATTTTTATCTCATTTTTGACTCTTTACTGTTACCACACCTGACCTTGCTGACTGGGTAATGGCTCTGGTCTGGAGCACAGCAGTGAATCTCTTTTTATTTCCATCTCAGTGCAGCTTTCTCTGCTCTCACGTACTTTTTCTTCTTAGTGTATCGTGCAAAATCTGGCATATTTTGGACTTTTTTCCTCTATCCTCAATTTTTCTTCACCAGCTGCTCCACTTTAATTTCCTCGCAAAAGCATTATACGAGAAATTCCCAAGTGTTCCCTGCCTTTACAGAGCCGGCTGTGATCTCAGTCCTGTAATGCTCTGTGTCAGCAAACAGAGAGGGAAGCAACCATTAACAGTTACGGATGTTGTGCTGGATGCATCAGATCACTTTAATATTCATCTGTTCTCCTTTCCCTTTGAATGTTATGCAAAAAGAGATGGTACTCAGTTCTTTTGTATAGTCCTCTCAGTCATGGTATCATTTTGGCACTCTCTGTTTGTTATTTTGAGCCCAGTTTCTGAAAAAAAGCTGCATGTATATAAATCCACAGCCTCTCCCCAGTCCTTGCAGTGATTAATGATTCACATGAGCATGACTGAAACTGGAATGTATCCCTCTTTGCCCTTGGTCCCATCTGAACATATGGCTGCTGAGCAAGACAGAACCTTATTCCCTGAATAAAAAGTTTTGTCTTTCCTTTGCCTGCACTCACAAGGCTTTCAGGAACCTCCTTCTGCACTGGAATGGGCCGAAAGCGGTGTCTGCCTGCAGCCCATCCCTGGCTGTGCTGCCAGCACCATGGCCATGCAAACAGGGTATTGTCATTAAGCGAGAGCTTGATCTGTTGGCTGGGAATTGCCCATGTGTAGGCCAGCTTTCTTCAAGCTGCCTCGCTCACTGCACACTAAGAGCGTATAGGTTGACATGCACTGTCATAGCCTAGTCTGTCATGATGTCATTTGTTTTCTCATCCTGCTGCTGGCTCCCCATGCAAGCTAAAATCTCCTTCAGGAGTCTTCTGAATTTTAAAGGCACTAAGAGGGTGCATGTGTAGCCCTTGTCCTTCCAGTGTAGCTTGGCAAAATTGATGCTTACTGCTTCTTCAGCGTCAGAGGATCCTGTTTATCTGTAAGCCCAATGGAGGTTGCCCTTCTGGTCTCTGGGATCATGTCACTTTGCCACTCTGACCACACCTCCATCTGTTCATTGCTTTGCAGCCTTTGTTCCTTCTCTGTCTTTTCGCACAGTGGTCCACAGTTCAGGAGTGTTTTCTCTGGGGTTGTCCATTTAGTTGTACATGCCACGCTCCAACCCAGGGAATCACTCCTGGAGGAGCGGGAAGGGGCACCAACTACAGAGCTGCGTGCAGAGCAGAAGAGGACCATCCGTTATTTCCTTGACCTCAGCGTGTCCTTCATTTCTTCTTCCAGACTGTTGAGAGTCACAGATGCCCAGCTGCTTCCTTGAGTCACACTCTCTTGTTGAAGGCTGTACGTGCCACTGTTTTGGTGCAGGCTGTCCCTTATTGTGTCAGAGCCTACAAGGGAATGGGTTTTGGGGGAGGACAAGGCTGTGCAAGTCAGGCTTTCAGAAAGAGGAGCTGTATATCTCCGAACACAAGCTGTAATGGAGAGACTAACCTCAGTGAGGAGGTTTTCAGTGTGTGATTTAAGTCACATGTAAAACTTGGAAGCAAAAAAGCTTTTCAGACTTGCAGAGACAGGAGGCAACTTGTGTAGATCCCAAGACTCAGCCCTTTGCATGGTCTCTTCTGTGCTTTAGCAGAGTCCTATGGCAGGTGAGATATTCCCGTGATGGGTACAATGCAGCATCTCATAGACTGGTGGCTTTCAAAGCCTGTGTCTGCAAAGAGGCTAAGAAAGAGGAGGAAAATTTCGGCTTTAAGTCAGTTTGGTACTGTGTGCCAAACCTCTGCCCACTGTCTCTGGGACATTAATCATCGCAGTTGAAAGCTGAGAAGACTTTTTCTTTAGCTTCTGGGCCAAGTCTTGGGTCCTTACTCAGACAGAAGTTCTGTGGAAGTCAATGGGAGTGTTGTCTGAGCAAAGACTGCAAGATGAGGCCCACAACCCTACTAGTGATCTGGAGGGTAACCACACAGAATGCTTTGTAACACCAAGAGGCATGTTTGGTCCTCAGGACTCCTGCTGGGCAAGTCTACTATGCATCCTTCTCCTCTCAGCCAATGTAAGAGTTATTGGGCTCTGTCCCTGCAGAGCATAAAAGTGTGATACGAGTTTTATTCAGGACATGTTCTTTGCAGAGGGACGGAAGGAAGTCCACAGAGGCTTCGTTGTGTGGATTAATCTCGTAGAAATAAAGCATGTTGCAAAGTGGCAGTGGTTGCACGAATACTTCTTGCATGACAGAAGAAAGAATAAGCCACATTAATTTATTGCCATACAAAAGACGGTTCTTGCTTGTTCCTGGGAGAAGCAGCTCGTATCAGTATATTGAGCTTTCCAGCAAAGTGAAGCCACAAGAACCATGGAAACTCCGTCAACCAGTAAGCAGGGCCTGGGGAGTGTTTCATATGAACAGACTCACTCCTTATGTTGTAGGACCTATCAAATCTGGGAAGATGAGGTGGAAGGAAAAGGAGGAAGATCGACTTTGCTGGTACAAGCTGGCATAATTCCTGTGCTGCCAGATATGTTGCCCTTCTTCCTACCAGCTGCAGATCTGACCTTTTGATGGTTCAAGCACAAACATAATCCTCATCCTTGGTTCAGCTTCCTTACTGAAGGTG